TGTAAAATCCAACTTTATTTACAAACTAGCAAACCCGGCGAACTCCGTTTCGCCACCAGATGGCTTCGTTTTATGTAACATTTCGTTTGGTGATTAACTCGTCGAGTACCGGTTTTATAGACACAATTAAAGAACAATAGGTCGCGGTCACCGGTGACCGCTTGGTGTTTGACAGTTTAAAAGATTAAGAAAAAAAAATTTTCCTGAATTTTCTTTGCTATAAACCTCACGGAGCCCGAGACCTTTCCAGCGAATACAAAACCGTGGAAATCGGTTCGTGCGTTCTGGAGTTATAGCGTCAGGAAGGAAAACCCGACTTATTTTTATATAGTAGATAACGTCAATTCTTAATTGCCAAAACGATATAATGTGAATTTAAAGAAAAATGAACTAGCCCCTTGTAAGTTTAAAGTAGAATTCTAGATTTTTTTTAATTATTTAAGACGTCAATAACAATGGTTGCTTGTTTAACAGGTTGCCTGCCGGCAAGACGAAGACAGCTGCGTTCTGGTGCTAAATTTTAGAATTTTATCATACTTTCTTATCTCGTTTTCCGTATTTCGTTTTAAATTATACTGTCTACTATTATTAAACTAAGTAGTTACTTAATTTCTACGGTGTTCTTATGCCATTTCGCTTATCTACATGTAGAATAGAAAACCAAATCACCTATATGGAAATGACGTACCTAAATTTTGACACTTGTCAGAGTCATCCCCATACATTTTGATTTCTACTCTCTCTGTAGACAAGCGCTAAAGTGGCGTTTGACTGAAGGCCCTGGTTTTCCGTATTTCGTTTTAAATATTACTGTCCGCTATTATTGAATTAAGTACTTAATTTCTACGGTGTTCTTGTATCACCTTCAGCTGTATCCAAATGCCATTTCGCTTGTCTATATGTAGAATAGGAAACCAAATTATATGGAATTGACGTAAATTTTGACACTTGTCAGTGTCATCCCCATACATTTTGATTTCTACTCTCTCTGTAGACAAGCGCTAAAGTGGCGTTTGGCTAAAGGCACTTATAATACAGAGACGTATTAAGGCAAACTAGGCAAGTGCCGGGCCCCAGGTTGTAACGGGCGCCGCGAGACGCACGCACCCGACTGTCCATAGAATGACGGCGGCGCCAATAAACTTAGGGGCCCCTGTGAGGTGCTTGCCATGCAAATTCGTCTTTGCCTAAATTATATCTTCGTGCTGTTAGTATTTTGGGGTATTATTCTCTAATTATTTCTTTATTTCTTTAATAATTTCATAACATAAATAGGGGAAAGTGCAGTGGCGTAACAATACCGTTCGGGGCCCGTGACAAATTTATCGGATGGGCCCCCGTTCCCAATAAAACAGAGAAGTTTAGATGAAAACCTCGGGGCATCTTCTAGCTGGAAGCCCGTGGCACTTTGCCAACTTGCGACCCTGTAGTTTCGCCACTGGGAAAATGGGTGATATTGTACAGTGACATTAAGTGCCGAAATGTGCGCCTCTGCCTACATATTCCTGGTAAAAGCCGTAATGTTTTCTTTAATTTCTTTTACACGGATCAACTTAAAGAATGTCATTATTCTATATCACTATCCATAGACTGCCTCGTTGGCCGAGTGGTCGCAGGTGCGACTGCCGGGCAAGGGGTCTCGGGTTCGATTCCCGGGTCGGGCACAGTATTACTGGGTTTTTAAAAATTCTCAGTAGTAGCACGGAGTCTGGAATTGTGCTCGGTATATGGCAATAGGCTCACCCCCTATTACATGGGACTCACAACATAAATAGTGAAAAGTGGGTGTTACATTGTACAGTGGCTTAATGTGCACCTCTGCCTACCCCTTCAGGGATAAAAGGCGTGATGTTATGTTATTCATAGTTAGTAATACTTGTTTTTGTGTGTTTTCTGCTCAATAAACGGGTCGGTCTGTAACTGAACATAATATCTGCCTGTAGAGAAACGTAAGGATTTGCCCTGACTCCATCTCAGACCATGAATGAGAAGACAAATCTTGCTAAGAAAGGCAAATTACAAACTTATATACTTGCTCTTTCATCTCTCTGATAAACAAAAACTGCATGTAAATACTTAACGTCACACATACACATCAACAGCCTATAAGTGCCCACTGCTGACCAAAGGCCTCTTATCACACGGAGAAGGTTTGAACATTAATCACCACGCTTGCTCATAGGTAGGCGATTTCAAACTTATAATAAGAAATTATAAGCCCAGGTTTCCTCACGACGTTTTATCTTTACCGTTTGTCAGTGGTGTCTAAATAATCTTAGAAAGTACATATAACGCGGAAAAAGTCACATTGGTACTAACCGTTGGTAGATTTCGAGCACGTTTCTCATGCATGAGAAGCGCGTCTTAAGCCTCCGGGCCATTCGGAGTCGCGGAGAACCTAACCGGGTTACCGGGGCTCCGGCTCGAAGTGCAGGAGTAGGAACGGGGTGGTTTTTAGTCAGTAAGAGTCTGACACTCCCTCACGCCTCACCCAGACGGGAGAAGTCATTCGATGATTTTTCCCACCTTAATAAAAAAAACAGCCTCCGGGCCACCACGACATTGTAAATACATGAATTAAAAGACCAAAATCCCAATATTTATTTATTAAAAGTTGCCAAAAAATGGCATTGTAATTACACTGCAATATTTGACCTTTAATCAAGGTAATATAACCAGTCTAGGTCATCAGATGACCAATCAACCGGTTTATAATATTATATTGTATGTAAAATTTATACCCAGCAGTGATAGTGCAAATTCTTGCCATAAGACGAAATTTTTACTGTCTAGTTGGCCGAGTGGTCGCAAGTGCGACTGCTGAGCGACTCGACCCGAGACCCCTTGTCTCGGGTCGAGCAAAGTATTAACTACTCGGTTTTTAAAAATTGACAGTAGTAGCATGGAGTCTGGAATTGTGGCTGTTATATGGCAATAGACTCACCCCCTATTACATGAAACTCGTAACATAAATAGTGAAAAGAGGGTGTTACATTGTACAGTACAGTACAGTAAATGCCGTAATGTGCACCTCTGTGCATGCCCTTTTATCCGGTAGCCCTTCGCGGATAAAAGGCGTGATGATATAGGCGGTCCAAAAAACGTTAAAATTGTAGACGTTAAACGCTATTATTTATCTTATAACAACTAAAATTTAAAACACTTTTATTGTGGTTTTCACCAAAGGTAAATATTATTTAATAATCCAGTCATTTCAAAATAGCATTCTAACCCGTTGAAAACCATCCCCTAAATTTGTTCATACAAAAGTGGTCCTGGTACATTGGAAATAAGGTCTATAATCTAGTTAGGGGAGTGCGGTCACCGGTGACCGCTCTCCCCTAACTTTTACCATTACTTTAACTTTCCATATTACCACAGGGTTATATGGAAAGCGTTCTATTGAGCATGCTCAAAAGATGCCTGAAATGAGCTAATTTTGAGCAATATTTCGACACACATGTGCTACTAAGTGACAAGTGCTCAATTGAAGCAAGCTTTTGTGCTTGAAATTAGCATGTGGTACAGTACAAGGCTGGCAACGCACCTGAGACTCCTCCGGTGTTATGGGTGTCCATGGGTGGCGCTGATCGCTTACCATCAGGTGATCAGTCTGCTCGTTTGCCTCCTATTCCATAAAAAAACCAACCTACCTTTGGGCTGGCTTAGCTCTAATTTGTGGTGAAAACAAATCATTTAATCATTATGAGAATTTAACGTTAATTTTACGTTAGCAGCAGACTACTAGTAATTATATCGGACATCATATTTCATTGTATTATTTAATTATCTTGACACACCGCACCTGTCGACCGGTCGGATGCATTAAAAATTAATTGAAAAAGTTTCAAACTGGTTAATCCAGATGTCAGATTAATAATAAAGCAGTAATAAGTATTTATTTCTGTGAATCTACTGGTGGCATACCGACTACCGAGTCGTCACGTGTGTCGTGGTAGCCCGGAGGTTTATGACGCCCTCTTGCATGAGAAGCGGGTGAAGAAGAGGGTACCCTCTTGCATGAGAAGCGGGCGTCATAAACCCCGGCGGGTGCGAAATCTACCAACAGCAAATACCAATGTGACTTCTTCCGAGCTATAATGTACATAAAACGATGAAGGAAAACATCGTGAGGAAACATGGGCTTATAATTTCTAATTATTCGTTTGTAATCGCCAACCCGCATTGAGCAAGCGTGGTAATTAATGCTCAAACCTTCTCCGTGTGAGAAGACTCTTTGCTCAGCAGTGGGCATTTATTGACTCTTGATGATGATGATATCGACTACCAACCACGGGTTATTCAAATTATTATTTGATAGTTTGGTTTGATAGTTCAAAATATTATTTGATAGTTTATATAAAATCCATTTTTGAGTGGTATTGTATGCTTCTTATTTAACACGTAGCTCTAAATTAGATTTTCTCCTGTGTCCTGTGTGTGTTTATAAATAATAATGTCATATTCATACACCATTATACCCAGACCCTGAAACCCGAATATTTTTATGGGAAGAAGAATTTTATGGGTTTTCAAATGAGTAGCCGTATCTTTGATGGTAAGCAATAGATGCCCACCGCATCAAAGGAGTTACAAATGCCTCTCGAACGGCATAACACACAACGCTTTGGTTGTTTTACGCCGGTTTCCTGTGAGGCCGTGGTCATAATCTGGTAAATGAACAGACAATTCACCTGATGGTAAGCAATCGGCGTCGCCCATGGACACCTGAAACACCAAAGGCGTTACAAGTGCGTTACCGGCCTTTTGGGGATTAGAAATTTGAGGATTGTTGGAGATAGGGGATTGGGTAGGGGGATATTTGGGCCTCCGATAACCTCATTCACACGACGAAACACAACGCAAGCGTTGTTTCGCATTGGTTTTCTCTGAGGCCGAGGTATCAATCTGGTCGACCCGATCTATTCGTGCCGAAGCATGGCTCTCCCACGTGATTCTGTTTCCATCTCTTACTAAATAAACCCATTTGATTATTGCAGCGTGAAGGATGCGGTTGGGCGAACCCTGACGGAGCTGATCTCCGTACCACTGGTGAGGCCAACGGCGAAACCAAATTCGGAGAATTCCCGTGGATGGTGGCTATCCTCAAGTAAGTTTATTAGTTTATACCTACATATACGCTTTTTTTAACAAAGAACTGCAGATACACAAGGGCAAGACACTTTAAAAGCGCAATAACGCCATCTGTTATCAGTGAGTTAAACTAAACATGTTCATTGCATAGTGATGCAGAATGAACTATAATCAGGGCCGTCTTAGACTACGCTAGGGCCAATAATTCGGGGTCCTTATGGAATGTTTTTTTTTAACGTTGCCCCCCCACACTAGACTTTTCTTCTGTATCGTGGATGCATTTACAAACATACAAGTTAACATACACATGATACTCAGACCCGTAACAACAATTTGTGGAGCACACAAAGATTTGCTCCGTGAGGGAATTGAACCAGCTTTAAGTTACGCGGTATCTGGTTGCCGTGTCTATCGTAGAAATAATTGTCGGTTAATCGGGGCCCCTGAGGATAGGGGGCCCTGGGCACGGCCGCCGAGTGCCCTTATGGTAAAAGACAGTACTGAGTGTAATCCCAAACTCTATCTTCAACTGGTTGAAAACGCATTTATTGTAACTTTTCTGCAATGTTAGCATGGATGGTACCATAGAAATCTTTTGCCTTATTGTTAAGATATCTGTAGATGGTACCAAGTGCTTGTCGTCAGGTGACCCGTCTGCTTATTTGCCACTGTATCCAAATAAAACAAAAAATATAACTATTACCACCTTTAACGGGTAACTTTCCGGGTCTGGGTGTCATTGTGTATGTGAACTTGTATGTTTATAAACGCACCCATGACAGGAGAAAACCCTAATGTGGGGAACGTTTTTTTTAAAAGAAAAAAGAAAAGATTGAAGAATGTACGACTTAGTGCCGAAGAAAGGTACAAGAATAAATTGATAATTTCCACTTGTCTGTGTGTCATCACGTCTAAAACGACTGGACAGGATATGATGTGGGTTTCTTTATAAGCATTCTCTTGCAGTGTACCGACGGATGGCGGTGAAGTAGGAGCGTGAGTATTGCGTGAAAATATGAGTGCTGTCTCTTTTTCACGCTTGTAAAACTGTATATAGTTGTCTCTTTCCAACGTTATTAGATTATTAGTTACATTTTAAATAAGGAGTGACTTTAGTTAGTCGGCCAATCAGCCTTTTTCAAAATGGTCTTTAGTTTCAGAGATAAGGTTTGTAATAGGGTAGATGCCTAATCTTTATTTTAATGTCCGTCTGGTAGATTATTTAAACCATTAGACACGTATTTATTATTTTCTTGCAGAAACGAATACTTTCGACGATATATTGATTTGAAATGTCACGTGACGTCACTTTATGTACATTTTATACGTAGAAATGACGTTTTAGCCCCCAACTCCTAAACTTTGATTCGTTATATCTAAGTATAATTTTATTATACAACAAAATAAAAAAATATGGTACGCAAATCATTATAGTACATACATCATTGGCTGAATCTATCTACCTACATCCCTCTAATCATCTCATCTGAAACAGTCCAATTTCCTCCCCAGAATTGAGCCAGTGAACGAGAATGAGCCAGAAGGTCAGAAACTCAACGTGTACGTCGGCGGTGGATCACTGATCCATCCCAGCGTAGTGCTCACAGCTGCCCACTACGTCGCCAGCGCTAAGGCATTGAGGATCAGAGCGGGAGAGTGGGACACACAGAGCACGAAGGAGATCTATCCGTTCCAAGACAGAGATGTCGCTTCTGTAGTGACACATAAAGATTTTAATAAAGGTAAGAACACACATCACATCGCGCCTTTTATCCCCGAAGCGGTAGGCAGAGGTTATAGATAGAATTTCCTTAGTCCCTTAATAGAAGGACCCCACATTTAGGACCGCCCTGAGAACACGGTGGAACACACAGTAGGAGAATGCCCTACGTGGGCTGAACACCGCCGTGCCCTCAGGGACGTGATCGGCTATGGCGACATCTCGCGTCCGGCCCAAGTGTGGGTCATGATGCGGAGCGAGGGGGACTGGGACGCCGTCTCCTGCTTTTGCAAAGCAGTCATACTAGTTAAGGAGGAGGCTGGGTGCGTGAGGCAGCGAAGCGCTGCTTCCTCAACCCAGCCATCGCTCCACTCGACACTCCGGGCGTCGGGGATCGCGGGACGATCTCCGGCCACCGTAAGTACGGGCCTGTGGACGGCGAGCATTGGTGGCTCGCTGCCCAACCAGAACCAGACCCGACCGTACGGCGCGTTGCGTTCCGCGTGCGACTCAAAGAGCCATCAGACCACCACGGATGGGACCCAATAGGGCTGATGCCGATACGGAGCCGCGGAGAACTTAACGGGTTACCGGGGCTCCGGCTCGAAGTGCAGGAGTAGGAACGGGGTAGTTTTTAGTCAGTAAGAGTCATTCGATAATTTTCCCTCCTTAAAAAAGCTGTTGTAAATGATGTATTTAAATTAATTTGATAATAAATCATGGTAATTCGTTACAGGAAACCTCTTCTACGACATCGCAGTACTGTTCTTGGCTCAGCCAGTGGACCTGGCTCCTAATGTAGGTGTGGCATGCCTGCCGCCTCCCAAACAACGCCAGGACGATGGCACCCGGTGCTTCGCCACTGGATGGGGTAAAGATAAATTCGGCAAGGAAGGACGGTACCAAGTTATTTTGAAAAAGGTAAGTGGTTGATGTCAAATTGGGTCTTTTGATGTTATTTTGAATGCCTCTGAAGGTCAAAATCAATTTTTGATGCCAATTTGTACAGTCTCGAGTGGTTGTTTATAAACGTGATTGCCAAGGGGACTCGAGATAGATTCTAACCACCCCGGTGGCCACACTCAACTGTATGAAGGCACCGGGTTCTCTAAAACACCTGCTCCGGGGCCTCCACGGTGCAAAGCCTGTTACGACACATCCCTAGGGAGACGGGTGTCTCCTCCTCTTTGTTGTATACGGCGGCGAGTGACCACTGTGCCACCGTCTTCGCTGAGACCACAGGGTAGGCACCTAGAGTCCCCACTCTCCCGAGCGTACGGCGCGTCGCATTCCGCACGCGCCTCAAAGAGCCATCAGACCACCACAGATGGGGCCCAATAGGGCCGATGCCGATTCGGAGTCGCGGAGAACCTAACGGGTAACCGGGGCTCCGGCTCGACGTGCAGGAGAAGGAACTGGGTGGTTTTTAGTCAGTAAGAGTCTGACACTCCTTCCTTTCTCACCCAGGCGGAAGCAGTAATTTGAAGATTTTCCCCCATTAAAAAAAAAAAAGAGTCCCCACTCTACGCACCCGTGGTTCCACGTACACATCATCATTTACATCATCTCCTTCCAGATCGAGCTGCCAGTAGTGAAACACGACAGATGTCAGACAGCTCTTAGAAAGACGCGTCTAGGAAGATTCTTCCAGCTTCACTCCTCATTCATGTGCGCTGGTGGGGAACCAGGGAAGGATACCTGCAAGGGAGACGGCGGTTCTCCCCTGTCCTGTCCTATTGAAGTAAGTTGTCTAAAGAAAGATACCTATTATTCATCACCTCTGTTCTTGCCGCAATGTCGTAGGAACAAAGGTAATTATTTTTTAATATTTTATTGTATTGAAGATTTTAAATAATTTATTTTTGATTAAGAAAAGTACCAAAAGGGTATGAAAATTAAAAATCTAATTAGTCCGACAGTTAGGTAATGATTAAATTAACGAGACGTATTTTTTATTTTGTCGTATAATAAATCTATATATATAAAAGAAAGTCGTGTTAGTTACACTATTTATAACTCAAGAATGGCTAAATCGATTTGGATGAAAATTGGTGGGGAGGTAGCTTAGAACCAGGAGACAGACATAGGATACTTTTTACCCAATTCTTTTTTTTTACTTTTTACCGAACATCAAGAACGGGAACGGGAAATATCGGGATTGCGCGTACGAAGTCGCGGGCAGAAGCTAGTACTTGATAAAACGAATTAAAGTTTACGAGTGGGGGCTAATACGTCATTTCATTGAATCATAGAAGTGACGTCACGCTAGATTTCAAATCAATATATCGTCGAAGGTATTCGATTCTGTAAGAAAATAAAAAATACGTGTGTAATGATTTAAAATAATCTACCAGACGGACATTGAAATAAAAATATGGCATCTACCCTATTATATATGGACATTGTATACTACAAACTACACAGCGCGGTTTCAATGCGGGAGAAATTCGCCCGCCATATGTACCGTCAAACTGCCGCTGTTACCCGTCGTTTATAAACTCAACTAGCTTTTACCCGCGGCTTCGCTCGCGTCTATCGTCTATGTGACTATCCATCCGTTCAACTTCCTTCAGTTGAAAAATCACGTTAATTAGTACCTCCGTTCTGCCGTTTAAGACAGGCAAACAAACAAATAGCTTTCCGCTCGCGTGGAATTCGGTTATATCGCGCTATTTACATTTTTCCAATAAGTAGGTAATTCGTTGACTGGTTTTAAATGACATATAACGCCATCTATACCAGTACATACAGCGCCATCTATACCAATATTTTTGTTTTTCCTAGGAAATATCATTTTTTTCCGGGTTAAAAAGTACCCTATTATTTAATCCGGACTTCTAACTTTACGTCTGCAAAAATTCAAAGCAATCGGTTGAGTAGTTACGGCGTGAAGGTGGAACAAACAAACAAACAAACAAACTCACTTTCCGATTTATAATATAAGTAAGGAAGTAAGGATAAGGATATAAGTAAGGAAGTAAGGATTCTCTGATAAACCTGAAACTACGATTTCAAAACCATCTTACAAGAAATTACGGCAAACTTAGAAGTAGCTTTTCTAGCGATGTTTGAATCCCATGTCGGGCAAAGGGTTATTCATTCTCAGTTTAGCTAAATTTTTAGTATTCGCGTACCATTACCTAGACTGCCTCGCTGGCCGGGTGGTCGCAAGTGCGACTGCCGGTGTCGGGTTCGATTCCCGGGTCTGGCAAAGTATTACTGGGTTTTAAAAAAATTCTCAGTAGTAACACGGAGTCTGGAATTATGCCCGGTATATGGCAATAGACTCACCCCCTATTACATAGGACTCATAACATAAATAGTGAAAAGTGGGTGTTACATTGTACAGTGGTATAATGTGCACCTCTGCCTACACTTACGGGGATAAAATTCGTGATTTTATGTTATGTGTTACCTAGACGTGAGTGTCAATAAAACTATCTAACTATAAGTATAAAATCTAATAATATACTCTCCTCTCTTTCTAGTACGAAAAAGACCGTTACGTTCAAAGCGGTATTGTAGCCTGGGGTATCGGATGCGGGGAAGATGGAACTCCTGGAGTCTACGTAGACGTATCAGTCCTGAGAGATTGGATCGACGACAAGGTGGTCGGCAAAGGATACGACCCTAAAACATACACTTATTAAACATTCTCGACGTCTTAGACACTCAAAATGGCGGACTTTTGACAGTTAAATAATAAAAAAATTGAACTTGCTCTCGACTTTTAATACCATTTTTTAATCTTTTTATAATCTAAAATAGAGATCTGAGTTAATAGATTTCTTTTCGTTCTATCTCAACTAAAGACGGTATTTTACATAAAACCCTCCGTACCTCACTATTTTCAAACTGTCAAAAACCCGCCATTTTTTTTTCTAACTGTCAACTAATACAATGTTACATGCTCAAAATATTATCTAAGTACCTACCTATTGACATTTTTGACAAATAAAATTATATTTTTCTATTGTACAACAAAAAATTATGTGATTTTTTATACTCTCATGTTTTTATTTTACTGAATGTTTCTTAATTTTTTGGTTTATTACAAATATACTGTTAGTGTCTAAGTTTAATTTAATTATTGAACTTAAACATTAAAGTTACCTAATGAGATTGTGTTTTATCTGCCTACTCAATGTTTTTAAGAAAAAATAAATAAATAATATATTTTAAGAACTAATATTTGGTTTTCTTTTCTCCTCCACCCTTTACTGAAGAGTTTATAAAACTAAAATATTTATAAATTAAAAAAGATATTTATGTTTTTATAATAACTATCGTTAGATTTACTATAATTAACTAAAAATCGCGGGTTACTCATATAAATAATGAGAAAAGCTCTACTAGTTTCGAACCACAGAGGGGTTCAAAGTCAAAATTATTTATTTCAATTAGACCAGAAAGGCACTTTTGAACGTCAGCAATAGAAATTTAAAAGTGAAGCTATTTGCTCATTCCAAGGTGTAGATTCCTATGGAGAAGAACGAGCAAGAAACTCCATAGGTTACTCTTTTTCAACCAGGTTCACAATACAATTATCAAGTTACACAGTTTTATTGGTTCGATTGTGCGAGAACAATGTAACACCAAACTCCAGTCAAAGAGATCGATTAAGAAAATAACGTTAAAGACAATAAATAAGTCTGGAGCTGACCAGTCCCAGTTGACAGCGCCCGTTCACGAACATGACACGTACACCAGCACCGCCCAACTCAACCATATTGTAGGGAATCTAGCGATCCAATGCACGTGCCACCGCCAATAAGATCTTTGAGTGAACATGACAACTCCATGTTCTTCCTCATGAGCAGCTTACAGTAGCGTAGGCTGCATGATATCGCCGCGACCGCGCACGCTGCTCATGAGAAAGAACCCCTCTGTAGTTCGAAATTAGTAGAGCTTTTCTCAGTATTTTTACGTGAGTATTATATTTTTAGTTAAAGATACTTCGCTTGCATAGTATTTAACTCGTCGAGTACCGGTTTTATAGACACAATTAAAGAACAATAGGTCGCGGTCACCGGTGACCGCTTGGTGTTTGACAGATTAATCGAAAATGTGGATCATCATCAACTTTAACAACAGCCGGAAGACGTCCACTACTGGAGAAAGGCCTCCCCCTTAATCCTCCACGTCGAACGACAACTCGCCACCTGCATCCACTGGCTCCCCGCAATTATGGGATGTCGTCGGTCCACCTAGCGGGAGATCTACCCATGTTTCGTCTTCCGATCCGTAGTGCCACTTAAGGACTTTCCTGCCCCATCTGCCGTCTCAGTCCATTAAGCGACGTGGCCAGCCATTACCACTTTTTTATTTTTTTATATTTGATGGATCGTTTGCCCACTATCTGATCACGGCTCGATTTCGCGAATTAGGTGGACTCTAGTTCTTTGGTGAATTTACATATTTCGGATTTTGTCTCGCAAGGAAACTCCGAGCATAGCTCTCTCCATATGAGTCCAAATGAGTCGGTGCCATAAACCCATAACAAAATATATCTTAGGTAATGGTCGCAGGTATAATTCACAAAAAAATTGTAAACAGCTTAATAATGTTAGGTAGCTATTATGGTTTTAATGAATAATTTTGTGTAAAACTTGTGGCACCGACTTCTCACCTATCAGTGGGTGTGTAAGACGTGTGTAAGCTATATGTAAGTACGTATGACCAATAATAGTTATTATTTGCTTTTTAGTTTTTACTTTTTGTTTGTTTTTTTTTTTGAAGTCGGTTTTTTTAAACGCAGTTTTTTATTTTTGTACATCACTGTTGACTAGAGACCAAAACACTTCACTACTGAATAAGAAACAAATTCGGCAGTAATGTTGTTAAACCGAGCGTTACGCAGAGCCCCTTTGCTTCACCTGGTTATGATGATGTGGGTATCCGGATCAGTTAAAGACTCTTTTCTTACGTCGCCAATATTACAGTTCTTAGCATCGGCCCATACCAACGTATGTAGCGTGCCATCAGAAGAGAAGCAATTTTTCTTTCATCGTATCCGATGAAAGAAAAATATTCCATCCGAATCTGCTTACTCTCGTACCGCCGCTGCTGCCGAGATCCTTTTTCGCTTGGATCAGATGAGGAGTCACAGATTTCGTCAATGGTCGCAACTACATAGCTGATGAGACTAACATTGCCCTGGATCAGTTGTTATCAGAAAGATTAAGCAATTAAATTGACAGTGTACTTAACAATATATTTAAAATATTTTTATGGCTCCCAAGACCAACTGGGTCAGATTGTAGGCTCGTAGGTACACAAATCTGCGATGCGACGTCGCATCGCAAAAATGCGCGAGCTCCCTCTACGCATCGCAAGAACTTGCGAATTGTTTCGCATCGCGAATCAAAATCTTATCTTCCCAAAATCTTCTTTGTTTCTTTTTCCTGTATCTCCTAAGCAATAACAAAAGTGCATTCTTTTTTATGATCCATGTCACGACCTAGTTTTCAATTTAAAATACGTTTAGTACGGTTGACGGTCGTCAAAGGAATGGTCACCCTGGGAGACGCCTTGTCGGACGAAATTGCATCGCAGCAATTTGCATCGTAATTTTTTGCATTGCGAAGTCGCATCGCTTCGCGTCACAGTTTTGTGTACGAGCCCTGTAAATGACAGACAAGAGACATGAAGTTCTAGCCTACGGCCGGTTTTGGGCTCCCCACACGTTTTCGTTGTTCTTTTGTGTGCGGATGGACCTTTTGGCTCTCGTTTCTGTTCATTTTGGCACTCTTGGTTTGAATTGGCGAGAATGTAGGTACATACGTTGTATATCATCGAATCAGTGAATGAAACATATGAGTACGATTATTTTCATATGTTTAATTCTATTGAAAAGGTTGTAATAATTTATTTTTGACTAAAGAAAATGCACAATTCAATAGACAATGACCGAAATGTGACCCGTGCGCACCCTGCATTTTTTCGTTGATCTATCATGCAACACGTATGACCTCGGTTAGGCGCCTTTTGCTAGATATGTCTCAAGTTTAAATAAGCAAGAGTAAAAGTAGTATATCATTGTATTGAAAAGTTGAAATAATTTTATTTAATTTTGACTGTAGAAAATATCCAATTCTCTGAACAATTTATGATATAAATTATTATGTTTTCGGCTTACGTAATTATTTGACGAGGAACTCGACTAGTTTCAAGCCAACGACGGCGACTCGCGAAATGCTGCTCATGAACATGAGCCTCTAACATGGCTTGAAACTAGTCGAGTTTAAGCCGAAAACATAATAATTTATTTAGTATGTCTTACGAAAGCAGGGCCGCGCCGCCCCTGTGTGCGAAGTGTGCGGCGCACACAGGCGCCAAGACAATAGGGGCGCCGTGTCGCGCCACCACCTCTACTTGAATTATTTTTGTTACCTTAATTATTATATTTTTGGTAGTAGAGTATCGATAAGTAAGTAGGTACAATAGGCGCAACATAGGCCTTGTATACAACAAAACTTATATTACGCTTATTAAACAAGTCTCTCAATATTTATGTTTATTATTAATCACGTTTATGCTTTCATTTTACACTTAGGGTTTTAGTTTACATTACTTACGAGTTACAAGATCAACGTTAAAACGGCGGCAGATCTTTTGAACCACAGATAAAGTAGGTACCTACTAGTTATATTGAATCATAAAGGCGCCGACTTTGTATGAGTAAGTATGAGTGAGTTTGTGAACGCAACCCGATGCGATGCGTGCGAGGCTATAGGAGTAGGGTCACAGGGATTCCCCGATTTTAACGAACGAGAGAGTCAAGCTAAAACAAAACAATTGAACAATCATTTGATTGAAAGTGTGTGTAAGGTGTGCATTGAACTTTTTACTGACTTTAAAAAAAGGAGGAGGTACGTATGTTCGGCTGATTGTTTTTTTTTTCAGTACTCCGCCATATGTGAACCGATTTCGAAAATTCTTGTTTTGTTTGAAAGGGTATACTCCCGAGATGGTCCGATTTCCATGAGGTCAGGATCTGATGATGGGACCCAAGGGAAACCAAGGGGAACTTTTGAAAATTCTATGGGCGAGTACTGCGTCTATTTTGTTTTTCAATTACGATTTTTAAACACTACAATTTGATAAGGGTCTGGATTTGACCTGCAGGCTTACTCTTGAAACTAATTTCAATTGCAATCCAAAGCCAATCCAATTCCAATGTTAAATTTGAACTCACGACATTCGGTACTCTTGAAAATAATAATGATAACATTGGATTGAAATCGGAATTGTCCCGCGATTGTTTAGAGTAACGTGAAGTTAGCTATGCATCGAACCGCAATAGTGTTGCTCAACTTATTACGATAAAATTGAGACAGGGCTCTAAAATCATATATCTTTAAAAAAATTAGGTTTAAAAATAATAATCATTCATATAATTATTTGTTTTTTATCTCTAACTAAATTAATTTATTTTTAAGGAAGTAAATTATTAAAAAAATAAATTTAGCATGACTTTAGTTTGCTTTGGATGTATACGTTAGCAACACTACTAAAAAAACCCCTCCGTAAAAGTTCTCCACATGATTTAAAACATCCTAAAGTTTTTATAAGAAATTACGAACGAGTTTGTTTGCATTATTATTATACCTCTATACCTTGCGATATACTTATTTACTGTTTAAAGTGA